TTCCATTAAAATCATGTTGAAACAGATGAATAATTGTTTATAAACCAGAGGACAGATGAAATAAATTAATGTGTATCAATGAAAAGGAATGCAATGCCTCTATTCATAGTATTTTATATGCAAGTATGTTTATTATGATTCTATTTTTGTTTAAAAATCTGATAGTATATATAAGAAAGCAGTATGATTTCTGTTGTATTTTTCTATCTATAAAAAATCTTCCTGAATTGTCACAAATGTGTTGAAGTGGAGTGTGTTTGTACTATATACTACAGAATTAAAACAAATAGCTATATTGGGATTATAGAAGCTTAAACAATGGAAGTTGGTTGAGTGGTGATCATTAACTCTTGGGGGTGGGGAAAGAGAAGGCTTTTTATTTTACTTATTTTTTCCTTTTGACCCTCTTCACCAATTTCTCCCCATCTTTTTGATTAGAGGCAGTTCTAGTGGGTGTGCATGGGTGTGGAGTGGTATCTCATTGTGGTTTTGATCTGCATTTCCCTGAGAGCTAATGGTGTCAAGCACTTTCTTATGATTAGCTACCCAATCAGTTTTAACATGGGCAACCACATCAAACTTAACCTATCCTCTAATTTATTTAAAACACCTTACTGTTATTTTTAAGAGAGTCAAACACAAGTTTACTTAAGAACAAAACAAAACTTTTGGACCAACTACTATGTACAAGACACAGTGGAAGATATAAATTATATTAAAGAATAGGCTATTATTTGAAAGTACAAAATCCAGCTTCCGCATGGTTTAGTAGTCCAAACTAGAACATTTCTCTTCTCCAAGCCTCAATTTCTTATCTGTAAAATGAGGATAATGATACCTATCTCCAGTGAAAGTGGTAGAATTAGTTAAGATTATTTATTATGTTAAGTGTTCAGCACTGTACCTGACATATATTGGGCCACAGTAAATGCTTATTGATGGATTTGCCACAAGATGGAAAGGTTGTCAATACAAGTCTGCCTTGGCCATTGTAAGCTTTCCCCTTCCTGACTTTAGGCTGACTTACGCAGTGGTCCCTTGCATGCAAGAAGTCAAAGAGCTCCTCTGTGCAATCCTCTTCTGTCTGTGACCTAGAGGATACACGCTCATCACAGAGCTCCAGCCGCTCCCGAGCCTTTACACATTTCTCCACCTGCTCGCAATGCTCTCTCACTGCTGTTAGGGGATCCTGAAGGAGAAACACAGAAAAAAACCAAAATGGGGGTTTCAGGAGGAGACCTACAAACGATATGCTTTAATAATACCACCAAACCAAGGTGCTGCCTCTGAATTACCGTGCAGAAGGCCAGCTGGCAGAGCCACACTGCCGCCAGAAATGGCTGAATGGGGTCTCCCATTCAATTCTGATGCTAAGTAGTAGGAAAAAGTTTCACATTCCTGCCTTCCAAGGTTGCCAGTATGCACTGAAAGCCTCAGTCCTATCTGAAAAACAAGGTGGTAAAGGAAACCTGGCCAAACTTGAAGTACATCTATAGGAGGCCTTACTTATTAACACAGCATTTTAGGATATGTAATGTCTGTGGATTTCAATTCTCCTCATCTGACAGCCAGGCCTATGCACCCCAACTGGCCGGCTAGAAAGGCAATGTTAAACACAGAGTAGGACCATCTAAGAAAAGTTCCTTCCAGAATTTTAAACCACAAAGAGCAGATGACTGAGTACCAGACCCTCAAGATACTGCTGTGCTCTGACACCATGACTGGAGAAGCCCAAACCCAGAGACTCAGCTTCCCAGGACATTCCCCCAAACATTCCACTGCACAGCAAGGAAGTATTAAAATGAAAGCTTTTTCCTCTCCCATTCTCTCCAAAAATGCCCCTTAAGAGTTTCATGAAGCTCAAACTTTCTTTTACTGAGACAGTTCCAAACCTGAGACAGCTCTTACCACTAATTCCTCCTCCTCCTCTTCCTCCTACAAAAGGAAAACAAAATTAATGTCAGCAGCAATTTTATGACACATATGCCCAGTCATATTGATGTTATCTCTGAAGATAAATACTATATTAATCATGTTTTAAAATTTTCCTTTATTTTATGATGTTTTTACATTTTAGGGGCCTTGCTAATTCTGGGCTCGATGGGCCCTCTCAGGGCTGGCTAATTTCTAGAGACAGAAAACAATATGCCTGGGGGCATACCTTTCCCTTGCAAACCAACTAATCCAAAACCCTTATCACCAACCACCTCCTTTATTTAACCTTCCTACACTAAACCAATTTTTCCCCTGCCCTGCTGACCCCAGGGACAAGTATCAATCAACTTGGGACCATCCCAAAGTTTATAAAGCACTTTTATGTCTATAATGATTTGATTAACCATAACAGCCCTTTAATGAGCTCTAATAACAAACACTAGACATTTTTTGTATAGATTCAAGCAGTCAGATGTTCATATGGAATCCACATATCTTCCTTTAAAGTATATTGCTCTAAATTCCGGTAGGTCATAGTATTATTAGAAATAGCTAAATTTAGTCCTTACACCCCAAACCCAGTTAGGAGGAAAACATTTTTTTCTAGATTTGGAATTTGAATTGGAAATATGAAAGTGGCCAAACCTAAACTCTTCTTTAGCCTGAGTTAGGGTCACTGCCTTTTGGTTTGCTGAACACTCAGAAGACTATTAATATAAATATGCCAAAGGTCTTCACAACTCCATTCACAAGCTTGGAAACACTAGGCTCTACCTATTTACTTCTGATTCAGGTACACAACCTCAAATTTAGTTTCCATTCTCCCAAGGGAAGCAATGTAAAAAAACTCTCTGTGAGCATCAGTGTAAATCTGGGGCATAGCAGAGTCTGATCAGTATCTCAACCTATCAAGTCAGGTGTTTGCCTGCCTCTGCATGTGTGTGTCCATGTTTAGGGTAGCGGGAAAGAAATGGTATACAGGAAAATATAAAGAACTAGTTCAGCAATCCCTATTATGTTTTCAGACTTCCAACGCAGTCTGCCTCATTTTCTACCATGTCCTTCAGTGAAGGGACCAAAGCTCATGAATGCAAGGAGTGACAGGAAGGGTAGATTCAACTGTCACCCAAGCTATTTATTCTTATAATTAACACAGATCTCTTTCTAAACATGTAGATGTTACTTATGACATAAATTCTAGCTTTTCATTAAATAAAGTTTCCTGACTTTGTTCTTTTAAAAAAACTTAAACTGGTTAATTTTTTCCCAAAAAACTGAAATCACATTCTGCCAGAATTAGAAACCAGAAATTAGTATCCTAGAAACAAGACATTTCTATCATTTTCCTATTAGCAATGCTACTACATTTTGTCTTTGATAACTGTGTCAAAAGTATCACTGAATGTTTTAGAGAAACAAACCCAAAACCAAATATGAATATGGACTACTTCATGTAAAATTTCCAGGCAATGAGCAAAATCAAGATCATGTGCAATAAAAATTTTCCTCTCCAGGAGGCACAAGTTCTTCAGTTTTCTTAATTTTAAGATTTACTAATTATTTACTTTCTTTTTCCCATCCGCTGCTATGGTGAGACCTACTGAACTTGCTAGTATATTTCCTGCTGAACTTCCTGAGGGTGGCTCAATTTGTTTCTGAAAATAATAAGACTAGGGAAAAACTATGTGATAAACCAGTTTCCAACTATTCTGAGCCTATAAACCCAGAATAACTGTCCCTAAGTACCAGAGAACAAAAAATTTATAAGAAATGTCATTAGTCAAAAAAAGGTAGCTGGCTTCTGTGAAGCCCTGTAGCACTCTGGCCAAGTCTTGGCTCCGGAACCATGCTGCTTGGGTTCAATCCCTGGCTCCTTGATTTATTAGCTGTGTGTCCTTAGACAATTATATATTTTGCTTTTCTACACTTGTTTTCCCATCGGTAAAATGGCAACTACACAAAAACCAGTACCTAATACTTACCTCATAGGCCTACTGCGTGGCTTAAGTGAATTAGTATATAGCACTTGGAATAGTAAGCAGTCTATAAATTATTGTATCGGCATTCTTACTATGAGAAAGACCTCCCTCTTTCATTACCACATAACTACACGACACATTTCATTCCTACTTTATTCCAAAGATACTTCCTTTCGACCTCCACCAAAGAAAAAGAAACCACTTTTTCACAGAAGCTTGGCTAAGGCCACATCTCCGGAACTTCCGAAGATGCGCAGGGATTTCCCATCTAAGCTGAGGTAAGGTGTAGGGCTCCCCAAGCCTGTCAAACTAGGGGCTCACAACACGACTGACTAAAAACATATACAATATTTTTACAAAAGTTTAGTCGACACAGCATTCTCACTCTCGTTAAACCTTCCCCACATTGATGAACTGAGGGGGCCGAAGTCCAGAGAAAGACTAGTATCTACTTGCCTAAGGTCAATGGACAAATTCTGGGGAAGGGTTGAGGGAACCAGCTATCCCGACCCTGCAAACTCTTGAGGGGAACCTGGGCCAAGAAGGCCCTGGGACTGTTTTGGCGGGGTAGGTCCTGAGGGCACTGAGGAGGGTCAAGTCGATCACCTCGCCGTACCTTGGGGTCTCCGGACCCAGTAAGCACCCTTCGCTCGTCCTCCAGCCCCATGTCCTGCTACAGGTCTAGATTCAACACCAGCGGCAACAGCGGCACCTATTCCACTTCAGGATCAAGAAGGACTTGTAAGGGTCACTCAGCGGATATCCGGCGACCCAGCCGGAAGTGCGGCAGACTCGTCGTAGTCGCTAACACACGCTCTGAGTGGCACGTACTACCGTCCACAGGCAGGAGATAGGGGAAGCTGATATTTGCACCTGAGAAGAATTTACTAAGAAGTAGCCCCTTAGTCGCGAAAGACACAAACATATTTGCGTAGGAATTTATTTAATACATTAACCACTAAAAGACTTGGGGACTATGCATATTTTTTCGACATTCCTTTAGCGCAGTTCCTCTTCTTACCCACATCGCGGATGGTACTGTCCTAACTGCTGACCTTTTCAAGATGGCGGTCCGAGGATGTCACTGTCGGGCTCGCGCACCTCCCCAAGATGGCGGCGCCCGAGGCCTGGCGCGCCCGGAGTTGCTGGTTCTGTGAGGTAGCGGCGGCAACGACCATGGAGGCCACGTCCCGGGAGGCGGCGCCAGCGAAGAGCTCGGCCTCGGGCCCCAGCGCTCCCCCCGCCCTGTTCGAGCTGTGCGGGCGGGCGGTGAGCGCCCATATGGGGGTTCTGGAGAGCGGGGTGTGGGGTAAGTCTCGGGGTGAGGGGCTACTTCTGGCAACGAGCGGAGGCGGCCCAGCGGCCGGGGGCGCGGGGGGCGAGGCCGGGAGGCCTGGGGCAAGGCCCAGCCCGGGGCACGGGAAGCCAGATCGCTGGGCTGGAGCTTGGATTCCGTGACTGACCAAGCTGGGCAGAGTAAAGACGAGGACCAACCCGACAGGTGGACCCGCACCGCGGCCTGTCTGGGGGGCACGGCGCGGAGTGGCGGGGTGGGGGTGGGGGGGCGGTGAGGCCAGGAGGCCCGGTCTGGAGCGAAGCAGGCAGGGCCCGGGCGACAGAAACTAGACTGTCGGGTCGGGCGGTGGCCACCGAACTGACACTCAGGCTGGGCCGGCTGGGGAGTCTAGGATGTCGAACCCACGGGCAGGGATAGCCCTGCTGCTTGGGGGCGGGGGCCCGAGGTTGGGAGGCCCGGTCTAAGGCAAGGAGGCCAGGCCCTGGGCCACCTAACCTGATTGACGGCGCGGGGCCTCCGGTATCTGCCTGATAAACCACGGGTGCCGAGACTCCAGAGGATACGGCGATGGGCAAGGGTGGCCCAGTGGATTGGAGAGCAAGGGAATGGGGCTGGGGGATTGACGGAAAGCCTTGGGGCGCCGAGGCCTGCCCGACGGCCCAGGGCTGAACAGAGCGAACTGACGGCCGCGGCCTCGGGTGCCAAACTGCTAGAGCGACAGACTGACGGGCAGGGCAGGGAGTGCCTGAGGCCACTCGGATTGGCCTGAGCGACGAGGCAGGGCCCGAGAGCCGGTGAAGGGAGGCCTGGAGCGGGGTCCGCAATCGAGGGAGGCTCTGATGACGGACAGGCGGGAAGGGCCAAGGAGGCCCCAGGCCGGGCGATGGCCCGGGGATCCCAGACTGGGAGGGGGCGCGCCGCCGCTGGGCGGCCTTGGTCCAAGTGGGAGTGAAAGGAGGCCCAGGCCTGAGAGCGGCCGGGCTCAGAGTTTGAGGCACCCAGGGTGAGCAGGAGCAGCGAAAGCAGGAGGGCTGCGGCGCTGGGATGGAGAGCCGGGGAGGGCAAATCGACCAGCTCTGCCGAGGGGCCCGGGACTATGGAGGGCCGGGGCGGGTCAGGTAATGCGGGAGTGTAGGCCTGCCGCTGGGTGGGCGCTAGGAGGCCGGGCTGTGGGGTGGGTTCCGCCGGTCACAGCCTGGCAGCTGATGAGAAAAACTCCAGCCCGCTTTGTGAGGACTGATAGTGAGAGTGCAAGAGAGGAAAGTGAGGGCTCTGGGGGCCAGGCCTGCTGGCTCTGGGGACAAGGGAGGCCTTGGGCCTGACAGACGGGTGGTGTGAGAGGATGGGGTCTAGCGACCAGGACTGAAGTGGGTGAGGAGATCGCGGGCAGGCCTAGGGCCCCAGGAAAGAGGAGGGGGTGGCAGGAGAGAAGGCCTTGGGCCTTGGGTGGGTGCGTGGGAGTTGTCCTAAAGAAGGCCTCAGTATTTTGCCAGGAGGAAGTCCCTGGTAAGGTCCGGAGTGAGGGCTTGAGAGCCTGGGAAGGGCGGGGGGGTGGGGGTTATACCATGAGGAGGCAAATATGGAGGGAGAGCCCTGGGTTTTGGAAGTTGGGCCTCCAGGAATAAGCCCCAAGGCTGTGTAGAGTTGTTAGGAGGCACAGGGATGTGGGGAGGCCCTTGGTGAGGTGGGGGTAGGGCCCTGATCCTGAAGAGGCCCAAGTGACTTCCACACAGTTATGGAGAAGACTGAGAGATGTCCTCAGGCCTGGCGGAGGGACAGGATTGTGGGGTCCCTGTGCCAACTGCTTAGAAGAGAAGGGTCAGGCAGACCCATGGGGAATGGGAGAAAAGTTTCAATGGAGCTGGGCAGGGGCCTCAGAAAAGTTCTGGACAGGATTGGCTGTATCAGCATGGAGATTCTAGGATGCTAAACCTGGCTAGGAGGGAAGAGGACTGGCTCTGGGGGCCCAGGTTGGGAAGTGGGAGGCATTAAAGGTATAGACTGGAAAGAAGAAAGGAAAAGCCTTTGGACGAATGGAGAAATGAAGAGAGGAGTTAGTGGATAATAGGGGATGAGAATCTTTGTGGCAGTGAGAGGGGATGGCTAAACCGGAGGGGAGCAGATTGGAGGGAGAGAGGAACTCCTATGGGCCTAACCCAGGTAAACAGTCACACGAAAAAGCTGAATCAAGTTAGGCTTTTTGAAGGGCCAAGTAAGAGGCCTGCTAAGCAATGCTATTTTTGAGGAAGGTCTCAGTGTAGACTAACAGCCAGGAAAGGCTTCCTGAAGGTAGTGAATTAGTGTGTTGTGTGGGGGACAGGCAGGGAAAGTGAGTAGAGGCAGCAGGAAAGGATACAATGTAGAAATGCAGATAGGTGTGTTACACCATGAATGCCAGAATATGGAGCTTGGACTTTATCTCGAATGTTGTAGAGAGCCTTCATTGGTTGTAATAGGATGGGCAGTTAATGCTTTCATTCATTCACCAGGTACACTGAGTACCTACTACTTAAAAAGAATTGTACTAGACTCTTGGATATCAAGATTCAGTTGTTCCACAAGTAAAGATACAAGGAGATCCTGGAATGATTTTGAAAGATTTTTTCTTAGATATGCTATATCCCAGGATCTTAGACTTGTTCTCATTAGGGCAGAGGTGCTATTGACAGAATAATAATAGCCAACATCCGCAGAGCTTATTATGACCAGGTATGGTCTTAAAAGATTATAAGCACAATCTCCTTTAATTTTCATAACAATATTACGAGGTTATTACTATCTCCATTTTAAAATCGAAGAAATTGGGGCTTAAAGATGTTAATTTGCTCAAGCGTTCACAATTGACTAAGTGATACAATCAGGATTTCACCTGGTTCCATTTCTAGAGAGTAAACCATTTAGCCATAATACTATAATGCCTCTCAGATCTAGGGACGTCAGTAAGAACAGGTTTTGTTTTTAAGATATACTGAATTTAGAATGTAGAGCCTATTTTATTCTTCATAGGAAAGTACTAGTTTAGGGTATAGTGGGGGCCCAAAGGATGGAAGTGGCCAATCTGGAAAGGTGGGAAGGAATTCAGGCTTAATAAGGGGCATGTGATACTTGAAAGATGAGCAGTTGATATGCTGGAAGTGGCAAGGACATTTCTGGTGGAGAGAACATGACAAAGGCACAGAGACAGAACGCAGCACAACACGTTAGTTAAGTGAAAAAAAGTAGTTTAGTGTGGCTGAAGTATACGAGGCAAAGCAGGGAGCTGAAGTTTGTAGGGCCCAGATTAGGAAGGACCTTTTTATCGCACATATTCAATAGGACCTTTTAAGTGCAGAATGGTTCATTATGCTTGGGCAGAAGTGAACTGACCAGCTTCTAGATGAGCCTATCAGCTTACTTTGTGGGATTATCTCACCCTTGAAGATGTTCCTACCCCTGAAATTCCAGCTGTCAACTAAGTGGCTGAAGATAAGTTTACTAGAGTTTGCATTAGATTTAGGTTAGCTTCCACAGGTTCCATTTGTCAAATGAGAAGTCTGCCCTTCTGTTTTCCTTTCGGATAGAATAAATAATGTTTGGAACCCTGGGAGAAAAAAGTAAATTTTGTGTTTTGGTTTTTGTAGCCCTCCCAGGCCCAATACTTCAAAGCATCTTGCCTCTGCTCAATATATATTACTTGGAGAGGATTGAGGAAACTGCCCTCAAGAAAGGTGAGTGTCTTTCTGTCTCTTTCTCAGTCAGTGATTGTAAGCAAGTCACCGTGATGTTTTTCAGGTAAATATTACACCTGATAACCACATAGCACTTTTTGCTTTTCAAAAAATACCCTCATACCTACTTTATCTTATTTCTCACACTGCCCAGTGAAATACAAAGCAAGTATATGATCACTATTAGACTAATAAAAATGTGACCACAGGCACACAATAAGAAAGCCAGACTAGAAGCTGCAACTTTTGAATCTTAATTTTTCTATTTTACCAAGCTGCCTCCCAGACCCCTCACTGGACATATCTGTTAACAGCCTGATGTGCCAAGCACTATCCTAAGCACTTACCTAAAGAAACTCATTTAATCTTTTCAATACCTCTGTGAGGTAGATATCATTAACTATGTTTTATAGATAAAGAAACAGATACAGAAAAATGAAGTAACTTGCCCAAGGTCACAGAGTGTAGTTTGCTGATATTTAAAGCCAGCCAGTGTCTTTAGAGCCAGTGCTCTTTACTGCTCTGCTGTATTACTCCTGTGAACCCAGAGAAGGACAACACCAAAGGCTAATGTATTTCACTCATAGTGGCCAAGAGCAGCCAAGTAAATGTGCTATTTCTCTCTATAGGCCTCTCCACTCAGGCCATCTGGCGTCGTCTATGGGATGAGCTGATGAAGACAAGGCCTTCCAGTTTGGAAGTAAGTTAAGGCACCAGGTAGAACTCTGGCCTGACTTTGGCAGTGGAAGCAGAAATAGCAAACACATATAAGCTGGGTCCTGGTGAAGTGCTCGGGCAAGGAAGGAAAGAATTTGGGAAGGCTCTGATGGCTTGTCACAAGGTTTTCTCCCATTTGGCATTTATCATTGACTTGTGTACTGTGTTTGCAGGTTCACAAAATAGGGAAAGGTAGTAATCACAGTGGGTGGTAGAACACAGATTCAAAGAGGTCTTGCCAGGACTGGAGCAATGATTAGACTAAAAAGATGAATTTTTTTTTATTAAGATACCATTGATATACAATCTTAGGTTTCACATGACCAACATTGTGGTTATTACATTCACCCATATTATCAAGTCAGTCCCCAATGCAGTCACTGTCCATTAGTGTAGCAAGATGCTATAGAGTCACTACTTGTCTTCTCTATGCTGTACTGCCTTCCCTGTGACCCCCCTACATTATATGTGCTAATCATAATGCCCCTTAAACCCCTTCTCACTCCCTCCTCACCCACCCTCCTACCCCCTTCCTTTTGGTGGAGTCTTCCCTTCTTGGAGTCTGTGAATCTGCTGTTGTTTTGTTTCTTCAGTTTTGCTCTGTTATACTCCACAATGAGTGAAATCATTTGGTACTAGTCTCTCTCCTCCTGGCTTATTTCACTGAGCATAATAACTTCTAGCTCAATCCATGTTGTTGCAAATGGTAGGATTTCTTTGCTTCTTCTGGCTGAGTAATAATTCCATTATGTATATGAACCGCATCTTTATCCATTTATCTAATAATGGACACTTAGGTTGCTTCCATATCTTGGCTATTGTAAACAGTGCTGCAGTAAACATAGGGGTGCATATGTCTTTTTGAATCTGGGATCTTGTTTTCTTCAGGTAAATTTCTAGGATTGGAATTCCTGGGTCAAATGGTATTTCTATTTTTAGTTTTTTGAGGAACTTCCATATTGTTTTCCATAATGGTTGAACTAATTTACATTCCCACCAACAGTATAGGAGGGTTCCCCTTTCTCTGCATCCTTGCCAGCATTTGTTGTTCCTTCTCTGGGATGTTGGCCATCCTAACTGGTGTGAGGTGATACCTCATTGTGGTTTTAATTTGCATTTCCCTGATAATTAGCAATGTGGAGCACCTTTTCATGTGCCTGTTGGCCATCTGAATTTCTGCTTTGGAGAAGTGTCTGTTCATATCCTCAACCCATTTTTTTTTTAAATTTTGGTATCATTAATCTACAATTACATGAAGGACATTATGTTCACTAG